TGGAAGTACAGGACCCGACACAGGAAACAAGATCCTGAGCCAGTGCCCACTGACTCCCACGAGGGCCTTTCCACTAATCTCTGTGCGATGTGAGTTGTGAAGATTGCTGGGAGGAAAGCAGAAGACAGATTGTGCTAACTGCTGCCGAACAGCAGCCTGCCTGGCAAGACCCGCTTGCCCAGCCCTGCCCACGTGTCAGATTCAGGGCACCCAGAGGGCGTAAAGCAGCGTGACGTCTGAACATGTTCAAAACAAAAGCTGACTTCACGCCGCGGTAGTCGCAAACACGCCAGGCCCAGGAGGCAGGGCCCAAAACGGTTTCAGCAAAGGGATGCACACACCTCTTTCTGCCTGCCTTGAAGGAAGTAGTGAAGGCAGTGAAAGGGCAGAGCCCCGAGATCTCCTTGTGCTAGCACTACACCCCAAAATATTTGATAGCTAGTGACTTACAACTCTGGCATGCACCAACCATTTCCTTTACTGGATTTGTCCAAGCAGCTCCTGAATCAAAAATCACTAGCTCGATGGAAGAGAGAAGGCAGGGAGGTGGAAGCGTGGCTTCCAACTTGGGGCGTCACATCAGAAGGACACAGCAAGAGGAATCCCTGTGACAAAAGTCCCACGTGGCTGGTAGCCAACCTGCCTCCACCGGTCCAAAGTGATAGCAGGATTTGGTACAACTTTGTTTTTGTGCCCTTTTCTCACTGTCTACTGAGCAATCCAGACCTGTTGCAACTCATGGAGACATGGCTCTCCCCGAACTGGCCCTCCCAGGTACGAAGGGCAGCATAGTGCTCCACGTCTGTCTTACACGGGTGGCGTCGACAACAGCAAAAGCCTCTAGGAAGAGGACAGCGGTTCCCTTAACATCACTACACAAAAATCCCTTTTACAAAATATCCCACAGCTCTAAGGACCACGCAGCCATTCCCTCTGATAATCAATAGCTAGCCAGATGCTTCAAAAAGTTTTTCCTCTAGAAAGCTTGCAACTGCTGTTTTCACGCATTTATCATTTCTATTGCAGCATCACCCAGAGGCCTAAGTTAGGATCAGGGTCCCAATTTACTTAATGCTATACAAATGTAGAAAGATATCCTGAGCCTATGATGCAGTACTCTATTTCTAGTATGGCTATGAAGATATCAATATTGGCAACTCTACCTGAAAAATATTAAGGACTTTGACAGGTGACTCTTCTGGGTTTGGTTTGGTTTTTTATCATCATCATAATTCCACTAGTTTTATTTTTGATTAAGAGGAATTCAGGACTAACAGTAGTAGTCAGAAAATACAACTTCCTTCCTCTAAGAACGTTAGTAGTTTTAATTGCTACATAACAATTCCCGGAGAGGAAACTCTCAGGTGGGCAGCGCCGGGGTAGCCAGCTGGCACGCTTTCAAGCGGGCACAGTGCGGCAAATCAAACAAGGGCAACAACTGCTGTGGTGAGCCCAAGGGCCCGCAGCCTGGCAGCGCAGCCCTGAGCACGTGCCAAGAAGCAGACCTGAGACGGCGCTGGCTCCTCTGCCTAATGGAGCAGGGGAGAGCGGGCAGGACAGGCCTCGTGACAAAGCTCCCCGGCTCACGCCAGGTATCACCGCAAGACTCCATGGAGGGTTCTTGGAGCAGCCGGTGCCTGGCTCAGATCAGTTTAGAGCAGCGGCGCTCAGCCCCAAGTAGCTGAGCATTTACCCAAAAAACCTACAGCATATCTCCCTGCAGGTAAGTTATTGCAAAGGCTCCAGCTATAAAGAAAAAGCTGTGGATGCGAGTTAACCTTGACAGAGAGAGAAGCAGATGGGCTGCAGTAATCATGAGTGCAGGAAGGAGAAACCCAGCGCATTCAGCAAACACCTTTCACGCTGCAAAGAGCTGTAGTCTGAGTATCGCTGGCTTGAGAGCATCCAGCATAGATGCCGATTCGGGTCTGAAACAATCTCCACTTCAAATCCTGCACTATTTTTAATGCCTGTTCTGTCTCCATCTCGTCATGTTCTAGACACGTGTTGCAGAGCCAGAGAGAGAAGAGAACGGCGCTGCCGAGTCCCGAGTAACTGTTGTGCAGCACACGGCCTGGTGTTTTTCACACAGCGGCGTGGCGTGGCAGCTTCCCTTGGTAGCACCATGTTGGGAGGGACAGACGGGCTTGGTTAGCATCTCTATGAGGCTGTTGAACCATCTCTTCCTTCCCTGTTGGCAGAAGCACAAGCATATTTCTCACTGCTACTCTCGACAAACAGGGATGCTGGCTGCAAGCTAGACAAGATGCTCCTTTTTTTTTTTTTAAATAAGGGCAGATCTAGTGCCCATCTTTAAAGAAAGGGAAGGAGGAGAAACCAGGGAACTGCAAACTGGTCCTCAGTCCCTGGTGCAGGTCTTCAAGGAACCCACTTCTAAGCACTTGGAGGAGAAGGTGGTGATTAGGAAGTCGCAGCATGGACTCACCAGGGGCAAGCCATGCCTGACCAACCTGGCTGCCTTCTAGGATGAGACGGCTGGCTCTATGGATGCAGGGACAGCAGCGAACGTGATACATCTTGATTTTAGCAAGGCTTTTGGTCTCCCACACCATTCTCACAAGCAAGCTAAGGAAGAATGGGTTGGATGAATGGACTGTAAAGTGGACAGAAAACTGACTGGATCATCAGGCTCAGAGGGTAGTAGCCAATGGCTCGATGTCTAGTTGGCAGCCGGTATCAAGTGCAGTGCCCCAGGGGTCGGTTTTGTTCGATGTCTTCATCATCAATGACCTGGAAGATGGCACCGAGTGCACCCTCAGCAAGTCTGCAGATGACACCAAGCTTGGAGGCAAGTAGTGGATACGCTGGTCAGGCTAGGATTCAGGGAGACCTCAACAAATTGGAGGACTGGACCAAAAGAAACTTCATAAGGTTCAATAAGAAGCGTCCTCCACTTAGGACAGAGCAATCCCATGCACCGGGGCAGACTGGGGGCCAGCTGGCTGGGCAGCAGCTCTGCAGAAAAGGACCTGGGGGGACAGTGGACAATGAGCTGAATATGAGCCAGCAGTGTGCCCTTGTGCCAAGGCTAACAGCATCCGGGGCTGCATTGGTAGGAGCCAGCAGATTGAGGGAAGTGATTATTCCTCTCTATTCAGCACTGGGGAGGCCACCTCTGGAGTCCTGTGTCCAGTTTTGGGCCCCCCACTACAGAAAGGATGTGGACAAATTGGGGAGAGCCGATGGAGGGCAATGAAAATGGTTTGGGGCTGAGGGGCAGGACGCGTGAGGCGAGGCCGAGGGAACTGGGCTTATTAGGTCTGCAGAAGAGAAGACTGAGGGGGATTGAATAGCAGCCTTCACCTCCCTGCAGGGGGGCTGCAAAGAGGATGGAGCTGGGCTGGTCTCAGTGGGGGCAGATGGCAGAACAAGGAGCAATGGGCTCACGTTGCAGCAAGAGAAGCTGAGGTTAGATATTAGGAAAAACTCTCACTAGGAGGGCAGTGAAGCACTAGAACAGGCTGCCCAGAGAGGTTGTGGAGTCTCCCTCCTTGGAGGTTTTTAAGACTGGGTAGACAAAGCCATGGCTGGGATGATTTAATTGGGGCTGGTCCTGCTGAGCAGGGGGTTGGACTAGATGCGACCTCCTGAGGTCCCTTCAACCCGCATTGTCTGTGATTCTAAGATCCACAGTCCTGGGGTGTGTGTTGCAATGCAAAGAGGTCAAGAGCCAGTGTGCTGTAGTTAGAGAACTTGCACGCAGCATCCAACTGGGTACTTCGTCTCTGTTTCTTGTCTCTGCTGGATTGCCCTGGCATGCATGGATGCACACGCACACAAGCCTATTCAGTCACTAAAGCCTTTTGTCTCACAGTTTGTCTCCAGGTGCTAAACCCTCCCTAATTTCTTCCTCTTCTCTAGCAAGCTTCTCTCTGTTAGAAATGCATTCCAGCTTCTCCCAGTGTAGAAACTCTGCTACAGCAGCACCCCACAGACAGGATGGGGAGGCCAGATAAGGAGAATGAAAGGTCTAGGGAGGACCCTGCTTCCCATTCATGCTGGCTGGTCACGTATACACAATTTTGTCATAAGCACGGCCGACATCCTGGGGTGAAGAGCGAAGAAGAGCCCCTTAATGTCATTAGCAATAAGTCTGAGGCAAAACTTCTCTCTGTTCACAAACCTAGTGATATCAGTGGTATAATTCGCATTTCTGGAGGAGCTTGTTCCATTCCCAGAGAAGCTGTATATTTTCATCCTCCTCTCCAGCAAACGCAGAGTTAAAAAAAATGCAAACACAAAACCCCTATCCTCCTGTAATTTAGATAACAGTTAATTTTGTCATCTGTCAACAAACCTTTAGAAAAAATGGCAGGCAATGCCCCTTCACTCCTTGCTGGGGTCTGATGTAAGGAATCCCAGGTTGGTCTACAGAGCGCAGAGCAGTCCGGGGGAGTTCAGCTTCCCCCACCCAAATCAGTGGAGCTGCCACCCTTTAAAGCCTTCCTAGGAGGTTGGGATCACAAACAAAAGACACTTCACTCCCACCTAACTTCCTACTCAAGCCTCAAGCAATGCTGCCCTGAGCTTAGCCAGCGTCAAGTCTCTGCTCACTTTAAGGACCTCAGTCAGTCCTCTCGCTTTTCAGGCCAGGCGAACAAGACCAACCCTCCAAATCTCTAGATTAGTGCATTCACTGAAACTTCTCCCCGAGAACCCGTCGAGGTGTGCAGGGCTCCTGCGCCTCAGGGACCAGCTGCAGAAACCTGGCCAAACATCACAGACCACCAGAGGTTCACAGATCGCCGTTATAGGGGCAGAGGGAAACAGCATCCCAGGCTAGGGCAGGAAACAACACAACCCGCCCCAAGTTTTGGAAGAATCTGCCGTGTTTCTTTGCAAAGTACGCGAGAAGCAGGGGGAGTAAGGGAAGAGCTTCTTTAAATCCGAATCACGGCCGTGCTTTGGCCTAGTCTTGTACGTAAATACGAGATGCAATCGACCAGGCACGGATTAGGAAATGCAATACGCCGACGGCACTCTTTCAAAAAAATATTTATTAGGTTATTAAAGTGACCTGTTGCTGCTGCTGCCGCTGGCAAACTGAGCTTGTAGAAAACCCACGCTTCAACCCCTTTTTGCTGGAGATGGTGAAAACAGCTCCTTATGTACGCACGCTGGCATTTTCTTTTTTTTTTTTCTTTTTTAAACTGAGGACAGTAGCAAGACTGCGAGCGAACTGAATAATCAAAAGACTATTCAAGAACCGCATATTCTAATGGCACCTCTCAAATCTTGCAGCCACAAAGCATCTTTCCAACACAATGGGAAAGGACAACAGCGTGCAGCCACATCAGTAAGGCTCGTGGCTGGACACTTCTGAGCAGAGAATCAGCGCGGACGCGATGACATTTAGGTTTCAGCGTTCACACCCTGCTGAAGTGGAGGAAGTTGAAACACCTGTTGGTGCTGCTGTTTAATGAGTACCTCTGCAGGTTCAACAGTCTGATCCTTCTCACTACACACCCACTTCGCAACCCAGAGAGCTGCAAGATTGGCTTTAAGAGAAAGCAAACAAAACAAAAACCAAACCCGAACTGAAAGTACAGGTTGTGGGAGAAAACGGACGCGGCCCTTAATCCTCAGCGGTTACAGATTTCCCACATCTGTGGATTTCTCTCGTCCCAGGATGGAATCAAACCCTCCTAGCCACTCTCCCTCCTCCACCCCTATGATCAGATGTGGGAACCCAGCATCTTAATCACAGTGAGGAGGCTTCCCATCAGGTAATACTGACATATGGCGTTTTAAACTGTCCCAATCCAATGTCATGTGCAGAAACCAACAACAAGGGTCACCTGCATCAGCCCTGTGACTGCTGCTCATTAGAGGATCTCCCCTGGTCCAAGGCTGCTTTCACTTCACTGCCATGCATCTCTTAGAAGTAACCATCTGTTGAATTCAGCTGCGTGCCCTGTACTGGCCCTCTGCCCAGACACCGACCTCCCAGCCTGCCCTCTGCTAGGAAGTAGCAGTAGCAGATGCTCCCTGGGACTCATGCAGTCATTGAATGATGCCAGACCCCAGAAATACACCTTGGCCACCGGCTCTCAGCTTCTGGAGCTACACCTGGTACTCGCCTGCTCAATGGCCGGTATTTCCTTAACCTTTGCTACTTTCTGTTCATTGCCCTGTGCTGTGGCCCTGCCCGTCCCTGTTCCTCTAACACTCTCTGCTCCAGGATGTCTGGAGACAATCCTGAGCTGGTGAGCAAGGCATGGAATAATGTATTCCTGAAAAGCAGAGGAGGAACTTTTTGACCTTAAACCAGAACAATGCAATTCTCATCCTTCCCTTTTCATCCTTTTTGGAGGGGGGTTCCTCCCTCTGATCACACCTTGTTATTACCAATGTTAGCCGTTCTCCAAGTCTCATTTCCCTGTGCCCTCTTTACGCTGCTCCTTCTTCTCTCAATACAGACAGAAAAAGGCAGCTTCACCCAGAGTATGTCACAGAAACAGTCCCTCCAGGTGAGTTCCCCTTTCATTTCTGCTCCGACTCTTCTGCCACTGTGGTCACCTCAATGGTTGTGGTGTGTTCATCTGATGCTGTTGCACCTTCAACCGCACTAGACGGCACCGTCACAATTGTGCTCCCACCGGGAGCCATTTGTGTTACGTTCTGTATGGCAGTGCCTAGTCCCGGTAAGGTGAGCAACTGGAAAGGGCTCACCACTTTTACCACAGTGCTGCCATCCTGTATGGCGGCTGTGCTGAGGACAGTCAGGTTGGAAGCGTCAGGATGGATCTCCACAGCGTTGGGGAAGCTAGAGCCTGCCGAGGCCAGTACAGTGTATCCCCCCAATAGGGGCGAGGCAGGGGAGCTGACTGCAGAAGTCTGAGACGTGCTTTTCCCAAGCACAGACGTCGGAAGGGCAGACACCACTTTGCCGAGAGGAAGGCTGGCAAGCTGAGAAATTGGCACTCCTGGGGCAACAGCGATTTGGGCAGATTGGGACAGGACGTGCGAAGTTATGGCAGCTGGCCCCGACGTGGCCCTCGTCAGCCGGGGGCGTTTCAAAGGCGCAGGGACAGAGACTGGCGTCAGAGTCATCAGCACGTTGTTGAGGTGCTGCGATTTGTGCTTGAGCTCCTTCGCCCGCTTGCGGTGCTCGTCACACTGCTGCTCCAAAGCTGAAAACAGAGATGGGGACAAGAGTTGAGCACCTACCAGCCGTGGCCTAGCACAAGTCTCCCAGTGGCCAGCGCCCTGGTTCTGATACCCTTGCAACCCCTGAAGTACAAGCAAAACAGGTTAACCGGTCTCTTGGCACTATTCCAGACCTCTTTAGAGTGCACTTTTTGGCTTTAGGAAGAAATCTATGTTCTCCTACAGAAAAGCTGTGCGGGAGCACTGGATATCGCAGGACTAAGAGTTTGGAATGCCCTTGGAGCATACCTGCTAAATCCCGTGTGTACTGTTCTCTCGAACGGTCCATCTGGCATTTGTGGCTAGCCAGAACTTTCTTTACTAGGTCCAGCATGCCAAAGTTCTGGACAATGTTGTTGAGTAAGACTGCATCTTAAAAACACGAAAGGCAGACATAAGGCTTTGAGGAAAATATCATTCCCTACAGACAGGATTGAGCTTCTTCCTGGTAAAACACAAATACGTAACACTAACATTGCCAAAATCTTTTTTCAGGATAACACAAGCAGTCCCAGCTCAGGAATTCATTAACATTTACACTTAAAATGATGAGGCAGGAAGGAGATGGGAATGTGCCAAGGGGTAATTAGGAAAAGGCAGTCCTTTCCCCACAAATACAGATTTTTAAGAGAGGTCTCCAGACAAAATAGTCGGTTGATCTCTGGATAACACTTGCCTAAGAGCGGTCAGAAGACAACGCTGTGTTCACAAGATACACGAGAAAGACTGTGTTACAGAGGGGAAAAAATAAGCCAAGAAAGTCTTCTATAGTTTAAATTTATGAAAAATGCAAATCTAGATCTATTTTCTCTGTTTTTAATAAATCTTTTTCTGGTTAAGAATGTCTGTTATCCAGACAACTTTCCATAGAAATCTCTGAAAAAAACAAGGAAACCCATAACTTCTAAGGAGTTCTCATCACGGGGCAGGAAAAGAGGCATCTTCTCCCAATGAGGCATACAACAAAAGCCATGCCAGGTAGCACACTGGGGAGAAACTGAAAAGACTAAGAAGGACAGAAGAGCTGGCCATGGCATTTGGTCCCAAATGCTGGTGTTCTGTAAAGTATCTAGAAGTAAACATTAAGTTACTGCTTCTATATTCAGAAACCCGTGTGCATGCTTACCCAGCACACATGGCAATTGAACTGCAAAAACCAGCTCATGTTAGCAGCGTGTATTTAAATGGCAAGACTGGTGGGAACTGGTTTGTCAGCTGCTGGAAACAATCTTTTATTTTTTTTTTCCCACAGGTTAGATT